TTATATCTGGGTGGCTTTTTCCTATTATCAGGACTGCCTATCCCAGTAATTTCCTATTTCATTAAACTTCCAACCTCAGTTTAAGGTCAGTTGCTGGGAAGCTCTCTCAGCCTTCTCATTCTGAATTGAGTTTTTTTTCATCCATGAACTTTAGGATCCTATTTATTTATTTCTCTTGGAACATTGTAATCTCTGTATTATAGGAATTTTAAACTCAATGCATCTGTTTGGCTAAACTGCAGAAACAAATAGACCTCATTGTCTCAATAACAATACGATTTCTCAAAAATATTAGAGGCTTATTGATCACTCAAATAACATTACAAGGTAAGTACATCTTATGCTCATGTATCTTATCCATGAACTAAGGCATCTCCTACTCCCTATAGGGCTCCATTTTCACTTGCATTCTGTAGCAGAAGGAGAAAGAACAAGGAAGTGCATGGGAGGAATTTTTGGCCAGGCCTGGAAATGGCACACATCACTCGGGATGTATTTGCTTAGATAGAACTCAGTCACATGTCCCAATTAACTACAAAGGAGGTTGGGAATTGTGGCCCAAATCAAAGCCTCTACCATATGTTGAAACCAATTTAACTACTTTCTGACACCTCTTCCTTTACCTGTAGTCCTAATTTCTTTTATTATGTCCTCCTTTACTCATTCTCTAAAACTGTAAAATGTAGTCTTCCATGGTTAAATGGAGTCTAAGGAAGATGACTTAGCTCTTTGTCAGTACTCTCTCAACAATGTGCCAAGGTCCCATCTCCCCACTAACTGGCTTGTTTTGCTTTTTATTCTGTTTTTGTTTTAAGTCACTGCCTCGGATGAGATCATAACTAACTCTTACATAACCTATTTTGAAAGTCAAATAACTCATTTTACTGCTATACAGCACTGCTTTATTAAATACACTTTTGCAGTCTTAAAAGGGAGATATCAAAATCCACAAATATAATATTAACATATTCTTGATTGAGTCCTCATTATGAAGCTAGTTTATATGGCTTCCCATTTTGCAGGGATTAAAAGTGTATTTCAATAGGGTGTTTAATGCCTTTTTTGCATGAATCTACTGTCATCCAACAGCTTTCCCTCTTCTTTACCCCACTAGACTTCAGATACAGAATGCTATTTCTTGCCCCTTGAATAAAACATGCAATTTTAGGTCTTGGATTCTTTCCTCCCTCTGCCAAAAATATCCCTTCTCCCTCACCCTTCCTCTGATTTTCCTTCTCTGCCTTTTTGATATAACTATCCTTTAAGGCATAACTCAAATGTCATATCCTTTGCAAAACTTCTCTTTCTTAATATCCATAATCCCAATTAATCAATCACTTTTTCCTTTTTGCTGCCACAGGCAATGTTTATAGTTTTCTTGCAGCATTTATCATTGTGTTCCTCCATGGCAGTTATTTGTGCATATGTCTTTTTCCCTTCATCCAGGATAAACTGTGAAATTCTTGATAGTAGTCACAGTATCTTATCCTTCTCTGTTTCTCCAGTGGGTGTATACAAATTACATACTAGTGGGGCTGAATTTTAATAGTCCTGAGACCTGTTTATAAATGTTTGATACAAAGAAAAATACAAGACAGAGGGAAAAATATTGCCTGATTACTTATATGTGAAATATGTGGGTGTGCAGGAGAGAGTTCAAACATGCAGATACAGAGAATGAAACAGCTGTTACCATGGGCTTGGAGGAAGGAGGTAAGGAAATGGGGAGACAGAGGCCAGTGGATACAAAATAACATGTAGGGTGCGAATTTAGAGATACAGTGTACAACAAAATGGCTAAAGTTAATACAATTATATTTATCCGGGATTGTGGTTAAATAAGTAGATTGCAGTTGTTCTTGTTGCAAAAAAAGTAACTGTGAGCTGATAGATATGCTAATCTACTTTATTATGGCAACCATTTTACTACCTATGTGTATCCCATAACATCATTTTGCAAATGTCAAATATACACACAAAAATTTATTTTTAAAATAAAGCCCACAGAAACAAAACCATTGTGTGTGCCTTCTTGATGTTTAGAGAACAAGAGTTTGGAAATAGTTTTTAAAAATTAAGAGAATATCCTGTAAAGAAATATAACAAATCCAGACTCAGAACACAAAATTTAATTTACATTAAATGTAATTACCCAAGTAAACTTTTGGATAGCATTAACTGTTATAAATGGAGAATATTTGCATATTGAAACAAAGTCAGTCATATGACCTAAGTCACAAAGGCTTTACTAAGAAGACTCAATAAGTATTTTAAAATTCTGTATAGATATACTTCAGGGTATGAATGATCTATATAAAGAATGTATTTTCTAGCAGTATGAAGAAGAAAAACTACCACAAATAATATGAATGAATACAAATTTTCCTTTAAAGAGCGTATGCACAGCAGTTAAGGCAGTTTATCAGTGACTGACAAGTAACTTATCAAAGACTAAGAATTTTGAATTATCATACAATTAGCATAATATTTTATTCATGATCTAGGAATGAATAGTATCTAAATATCCACTGGTTTATTATTATTTTTTCACTTCCTTGTCTTCTATACTTATGTTCCATTAGCAGGTATAGGCTGATTATTTTCAGATGATTTGAAAAGGTTAACCGTATCCATGACAACCACCATTAACATTGGTAGACTCCATCCTGTTTACAAATAGAATTCCCTAATCCTTACTGTAGATGAATAACATCCCCCAAATAAGGTGCTGTCATCTTGGATCTCTGCTATTCATTCTTAAGTGCAATCTTTCTTTGTTTCCCCCTTTACAATTCCCTTTCTATCATGCCTTTCAAAAATTCTTATCAAGCTCTTCATTCAGGTAATTGATACCAATATTCAGTTAATCTGTGAATATTAGGACACATTAAAACTTTTCTTGGATAAAATAGTATTCCAAGCCAAGTATGCTGGCTCACACCTGTAATCCCAGCACTTTGGGAGGCCATGGTGGGTGGATCATAAGATCAGGAGTTGGTGACCAGCCTGGCCAACATGTGAAACTTCAACTCTACTAAAGATACAACAAATTACCTGGATGTAGTGGCATGCACCTGTAATCCCAGCTACTCAGGAGGCTGAGGCAGGTGAATCACTTGAACCTGGGAGGCAGAGGTTGCAGTGAATCAAGATTGCACCATTGCATTCTAGCCTGGGCAATGGGGTGAGACTCCATCTCAATACTACTGTTACTACTAATAATAATAATCCCAGGATGATCTGCTAAGACCCAGTTATTTTATTGCATTCTTAAGCATATTAATATGAGTTTCTTTTCCAAAAGTTTATGATCACTTTACTCAAATTCTGTTTTCTTAGAATCTCTTTTATGACTTGTTAATACATTAATAGAAGAGTTTTTAATAATTCATCAAAATGTGTAGTTAATAAATTGCTTTGGCTCTCTCTTGAATTAGCAGCACAGAAAGCTTTCACTTGTCACTGATAATTCAATTTGATTTATCACAAGAGCATATTGTTGATATTTGGATTGTATCAATAGAATTGAAAATGTTAGGGTTAAAATACCTTTTTGGCTCATGGCATTTCTCTATTTCATTTATTTCTGCAGGTACACACACACACACACACACACACACACACACACACACACACTCCCCAAATCTTACTCTGTGCCCAGGCTGGAGTGCAGTGCCCAATCTCAGCTCACTGCAACCTCCACCTCCTGGGTTCAAGTGATCTCCTGCCTCAGCCTCAGCCTCCCAAGTAGCTGGGATTACAGGCATCTGCTACCACACCTGGCTAATTTTTGTATTTTTAGTAGAGACAGGGTTTCACCATGTTGGCCCGGCTGGTCTCGAACATCTGACCTCAGGTGATCCACCCGAGGTCCTGAAGTGCTGGGATTACAGGCATAAGCCACCATGCCCAGCCTGCTGCTTCATTTTTTTAAGCAAGATAATATGTTATTTTTACTTTTTAGTCATTTATAAACTTTTCAGATCTCAATTCATTAATTAAAAGAGAATTTTTAAAAGCTTGTTTTTCTTGGTGATGTAATTGCTGCTTTTGTGTAGAAAATAATTATTTTTAAACTACTGAAAGAAGCATTAGGTTCCTGAATGTATGAAACAGAAGGAAATGGGAAAAGAAATGATCAACTCAGGGACATAGATAAATTACTGAAAACGATTTCTTAAAAAAAAAAAAAGTGATTTTAGAGAATACAGAATTAAATTTGCATACAAGTCCCTTTGTATACTCGGGTAGCATTTATTATGGAATATTGTGAAGAAAAGCATCAGGTTGATTACTGAGAGTGTATTCATTCTGACCTAAATAACAACAACAACAACGACACGTAGAAGAAGTAGTTATTAGAGTTATTCAGGCTACTAGAGAGGCTGAACAACCTGCAACTGCACATTTTTAACTTGTTTTGTTTTGTTCTACTTTATGTTTGAAGAGTTTACATTTATTTTCAATCTATATAAGAGGGAGTCACTTTTTTGTGATCGTGTCCAAAACTTATAATTGCTTCAGAGGAAAAAACAGCTACTTTGTATGTTTCCCTAAATTGATTATCACTTAATTTTTACAACCATTCTATGAAATAAATATTATAATTATTAAATTAGTGATTAGAAAACTGAGGCTTAGAGAAATTTAGGAAACAGACCAAACTCATAAAATTAACACATTCTTTTGTCAGGACTCAAATTCAAGTCTCCACATATTCATGCCTATTGTTAATGTTGGTGTTACCATGTTGCTGTCTGTAATATGGTTTAATACTACAAAGTACTTGCATAGATTTATCTGAGACATCATTTACATAGACAACACAACTGAGGTTAAGAGACTATGAATTTCCTAAGCAACACTCAGCAAAGTAGAATTCACATCTACCTCCGTTTCTTTGGCTTCAGTCTGAAACATGACAGTGGATTTTGGATCTCTGCAATTTCCAAATATTAAATTTTCTGTTCTGTTTCTTATTGTCTTTCTTTTTTCTTTAGTTGCCTAGGAGAAAGCAACCATGATGGGCATGGAATGATTGTGCAAGTTCACAGAAGAGAGGATTTCAGACAGGGTATAAGACATGACCAAATCATGATACTGCTTGACCTCTACTCCAGGTAATGCTTCTGAACTACTTTTTAGACATCTTATTCCACACTTGAATGTGCGATACAATGAGATTGCAAAAATGTGCTAAAACAGTTATTAGGTAGAGTCAACAAGTATCAGGAATGCCACAGACAAATAGAAAATAATTTTGGTAGTGTTTAGACTGAAGGCAAAGATTGTGATTCCCTCTTGATGGGAAATTAAAAGTAACAACAGTTATATTGCTCTATTGATATCATATTGTTATATATTAACACATTTTTATAATTTCATATCACCTAAATGTTTTGTTTTCTATAAAAGCTTTGAAATATGCTTAAATACACAAAGTAATTTAACTTTGAAATAATAGTGATATTGAGAACACTGTCTGAATTTTGATTTTGAACTATTCAAGTAAGACTTTATTTTAAAAATGCCCATATTTAAAACTTCACTAGCTTGTTAATCCAAGGAAAGACCAATCCATTGGAGGCTACCAAGTAGCTACTACCTTTTCCAAGTCCCAAATCCTTTAAACCTCTTTTCACCTTCATTTTAAAAACATGGATAGCAAGACTCAAATCCAGCAGCCAAGTTTTTGCAAGGTATTTTTCTCTCCAAATGAGGTAATGTATTTCTTCTAACAGTCTTTATAATAATAAGAAGACGTGTGTGGAAGAAAGTCAAGTGTTAAACGAAGCCATGCAAATTAGCCACCTGGATACAACAGCGTTGTCTTGCCTAATATTTAGTTCACAATTATTAGGCAAGACAAGGATTAGGATTCATAATCTTACAAAGAATCTCATTTTTTACCCTTTATAATATTCCAGTATATTTGATCAATCCTTATCGTTCCTCAAATACACGGTTTCTTTGAGAGCTTAACAACTCTGTCGATAAAAGCTGTGAGGAAGGATGACGTTATATAAACAAACCAGTTTTGTGATTTGATGGGTCAGCAGATTATGCAAAGCAGAGGCCAAAGAGCTTCTACAATTTAAGGAGGAATTATGGCATTCTTCCCGTCGTTTAGTGGAGGCTTGTCTGTCTATTTGTCTGAGGACGTTATTCCAAATGTTAAAAAAAAAATAAATAAATAAAAAAAATAAGAAAGGAGAGGAAAGAAGAGAGGAAAGGTGAAAAAAAAAAAAAACCAGAGAAAGGCAAATAAAAGTTGATGCATTCTTATCAGTTTACATATAATGCTTGAGATGTTTATTCTGATATTTATGACCTTGCCTGTTCTAACTCTATTTAACTTTCTAATTTGTGTTGCAACAATTTCTGTTCATTGTCTTCTGTTCCAGTTGAATGGAACTTGCTACTTTTCCCACAGATGTCTTATGCTTTCCTCCATAGGTGCCTTTGCTCATGAGTATACTTTTTGATATCTGTTCCCTCTTCCTACCAACGAATTCCTATTTATTTTTTCATTCAAGTTCATTGAGGCAAGATTTACAAATTAGAAAATATACTCAAATGAAAGTTTCAATGAGTTTTGACAAATTATATCAAATTATTTATATCAAATTATGTATTTAAACAAATTATATCCTATTATTTATATTCAAAATATAAAACATATACACAAAAATTTTAGTCATGATCCTTACAATAAAATCTACCATCATTCCATTTACATACACCCTGAGCACAAGGCAAAAACAGTCTGCTTTCTGACATTATAGATTAGTTTTGCCCTTGCTAGAATTCCACATGAACAGATTCATATAGTATGTACTCTTCTATATCTGGTTTCTCTTCTTCAGTATAATGGCTTTTTGAGATTTATTATGTGGCTACATGTATCAGTACTTCATTCATATTTATTGCTAAGTAATACACCATTACATAGACATTACCAAAATGTATTTATCTGACCACATATTGTTAGGTATTTGTTTGCAGTTGTTGAATATATGAATACAGCTTCTATGAGCATGCATGTTGAAGGTGTGTGAATGTATGCCTTTTATTTCTCTTTTAACCATTGTAATAGATGCATAGTGGCATATCATTCGTTGTAGATCATATACATATTTTCCTGATGACTAATAGTGCTGAGCAGTATTTCAGGATTTTTTAAAACAATTTATTTATTGTCTTTGTTCAAGTCATTTGTGCATTTTTTTGGGGATCATTTGTTTTCCTTTTTTTTTTTCCTTTTTATGGACTTGTAAGAATCATTTCTTCTAGGAATAAAAATAGGTTTTTTGCTTCATTTTCTATCTGCAGGCTATATATCGATTTTCTAGTATTATTCCACTAACTACGTCCTTTGATATGTTGAGTAGTTGTGTTGAAAATGTTGAATCAGTGTGTTGAAAGTATATATATTTACTTTTCCTTTGATGCTGGGTGAAAGCATTTAGCCTGTCATCATTAAGTTTAATGTTAACTTGTTTGCCATGATTTACTATTTTGTTTGTTGTTTATCATCAGTAAGTGTTACATTTTGACCAAGTATATTCTGCATCTGTTGAAATAGCTGAATGGTTTTGCTTTTTTCATCTATTAGTACTATGAATTACACTAACTGCTTTTAATGTTAAACTATACTTGCATTACTGGAATTGGTCATTTGTCAAATATGTGCAGTGAACTGTGCACTTGGTCATGAGGTATTATTCATTTTGTGTTGGGATTCTATTTGTTAAAATTTTCTTAAGGATTTTTGTTTCTATGTTCATAGGTGATACTGATCTGTACTTTAATTTTAATGTCTTTTTCTCAAATTTTTATCACAGTAATGCTAGTTTCATATAATTAGTTGGGAAATACCCACTCCCCTTCTAGCTTTTACAAGAATATGCATAGAATTTATAATATTTCATCTTCATTTTTTGATGTAATTAACCATTAGCACCACATCGGTGTAGACTTTTCTTTGTGGAAAGTATTAAACTACAGATTCAGTTAACTTAAATAATATAAATTATTCAAGGTATCTCCTATTTTAATGTGTTTTGTTAGTTTTGAATTTGTTCATTGTACTGATGTTGAATTTATTCACAGTAAATTGTTTGTATTGGGCTCTTGTTATGGTGCTAACATTCATAGGAGTTGTAGAATTTTTTTCTGAACTGTCTAGGAGTTTAAGAGTTTTTCTGCTCTTTTAACATAAGGTTTGGTGTACATTCATTTTCCTATATTTTTCTATTTTTATTTCAGTAGAATATGTTTTTTCTAAAATTATTATTCCATTCCTTCTGCTTATTTTAAGCTTAATTTGCTCTGCTTTTTTAAATCATATTTTAAGATGGAGGTTTAAATAATTAATTTTAGGATTTCTTCCCCTTGTAAAGCCATAAATATTCTTCTAGATACTGAGTAAAATGGAATATTTTACATTTTAATTTTCATTTAGTTGATTATGTTTTCTAATTTTACTTGTAACTTCTCCTTTGACTGATAAATTATGTGAAACAGTGAGACCAGAACAAGGATTATTTGAAAACCTGAGTAATAGGATAGGAAACCAAGGAAATATGGTTTCAGTTTGTATGTTTATAAAGGCAATAATCATTCTTTAGGAAACTGCATTAAGGACTCCTGATTAAAATTACTATTTTTACTCATTGTAAATTTTACACATATATCTTGAAAGAATTCTTTGTCAGGATTTTTACTAGATCCAGGGACCACAAGAATTTTCTTTTTCTTTTTAATTAGGCTTTAAGTTCTGTGGTACATGTGCAGATCTTGCAGGATTGTTGCATAGGTTCACACATGCCATGGTGGTTTGCTGTCTCCATCCCCCCATCACCTACACCAGGCATTTCTCCCAGTGTTATCTCTCCCCAACCCTCCTGCCCCCTACTGTCCCTCACTAGCCCCCCATCCCCCAACAGACTCTAGTGTGTGATGTTCCCCTCCCTGTGCCCATGTGTTCTCATTGCAGTGGAACACAGAACAGAGGCCTCAGAAGCAACGTCACACATGTACAACCATCTGATCTTTGACAAACCTGACAAAAGCAAGCAATTGGGAAAGGATTCCCTATTTAATAAATGATGTTAGGAAAACTGGCTAGCCATCTGGCTGCAGAAAGCTGAAACTGCACCCCTTCCTTATACCTTATACCTTAACTTTAGATGGATTAAAGATTTAAACATAAGACCCAATACCATAAAATCCCTAGAAGAAAACCTAGGCAGTATCATTCAGGACAAGGGTGTAGGCAAAGACTTCATGACTAAAACAACCAAAACAATGGCAACAAAAGCCAAAATAGACACACGGGATCTAGTTAAACTTGAGTTTCTGCACAGCAAAATAAACTATCATTAACATGAACCAAAACCAACAGAATGGGAAAAAATGTTTGCAGTCTACCCAACTGACAAAGGCTAATATCCAGAATCTACAAAAAAACTAAGGCAGATTTACAAGAAGAAAAAAAAATCCATTCAAAGTGGGCAAAGGATATGAACAGACACTTTTCAAAAGAAGACATTTACGAGGCCAACAAACATGAAAAAATGCTCATCATCACTGGTCATTAGAGAAATACAAATCAAAACCACATTGAGAAACCATCAATGGTGATCCAGTTAGAATGGTGATCATTAAAACATCTGGAGACAACAGATGCTGGAGAGGATGTGGAGAAATAGGAACACTTTTACACTGTTGGTGGGAGTGTAAATTAGTTCAACCATTGTGGAAGACAGCGTGGCAATTCCTCAAGGATCTAGAAATAGAAATTCCATTTGACCCAGCAATCCCATTACTGGGTATATACCCTAAGGATTACAAATTGTTCTATTATAAGACACATGCACACGTATGTTCATTGTGGCACTATTTACAATAGCAAAGACTTGGAACCCACCTAAATGCCCATCAATGATAGACTCGACAAAGAAAATGTGGCACATATACACCATGGAATGCTATGCAGCTATAAAAAATGATGAATTCGTGTCTTTTATAGGGACATGGATGAACCTGGAAACCATCATCCTCAGCAAACTGACACAACAACAGAAAACCAAACACTGCATGTTCTCACTCATAGGAA